GAAGCAGACTTTCTGCTGTTGGAGCTAGAGAGGTGAGGAGAGTAAGTCTGATTCCCCGTTTGGACTTCTCTGTTGAAATCCACCCCTTGGCGCTCATATGACCTTATGCAGTTGCGAGCGCTGTAAAATCTTACTAAAACAACTATCTCCATCTCTCTATCTCTCCATCCCTCCATCTCTCTATCTATCCCTCCATCTTTCTATCTCTCCATCTCTCCATCCCTCCATCTGTCTGTCTATCCCTTTCTCTCTCCATCCCTCCATCTCTCTATCCCTCCATCTCTCTCTCTCTCTATCTTTCTATCTCTCCATCCCTCCATTTCTCTGTCCCTCCATCCCTCTATCTATCCCTCTATCCCTCCATCTCTCCATCCCACAGGTGCGGTGGCAGGTATCGCTGACCAGCCCCTGCAGACCCTCATCTCGTCGGGCGAGCGGTCCGAGCGTCCATCGACGGCGTCCTCTGCTGCGTCCGGCCTGGTCACCGGGGTGGGCAAAGGTCTGGTCGGAGTCTTCACCAAACCCATCGGTGGAGCCGCAGAGCTGCTGTCTCAGACGGGTCAAGGTCAGTGACGTCATCGCGGGAAATTGATTGTAGTCTATCGTGACCTCAGTGCTTTCTTGTCCTATCTCCATTTTTAATAAGAGTGAAAACAGTTCATTTACAAAGAGTGAGCTTAAGGTCAGGGAGTCGCCGGTAATTGATTGTAGCCTATCGTGACCTCAGTGTTTTCTTGTCCTTTTTTTTTTAGTAAGAGTTTTACAGCACTTGCAACACATTAAGGTCATATAAGTGCCGAAGATTAGAGGTGTTACAAGAGAGTAACAAACACAGAAAAGAAGGAGGAGAGAGCAGGGTGATAGATGTTTGATAGGAAAGAAGGAGCAGACCACACCAGAGCACCCGCCAACCACCCGCTTCTTGTCCTATTTCCATTTTTAATAACAGTGAAAACAGTTCATTTACAAAGAGTGAGCTTAAGAAGAAGTCTCAGTTTCAATGTTTAAAAAAAAATGGAGATAGGACAAGAAAGCACTGAGGTCACACTATACTGGATTTTTTTCAAGTCACACTTAAAATAGTGATTTCATGATTTTAAAAGAATTTAAGAATTTTCCTGATCTTTTATAAAGTTTTAATTTAAAATAAATTAATGACTTCAGGTTGTTTTGCGAAATGTTAACACTTTCCACCCTGGCTGCACTCGGAGCACCCGACACTTGTCCCCACGGACCAGGATACAGATGCGGTACATCAGTACTAAAACTGCTATTCCCCAACCATTATGAAATGTTCAGCCTACTTAGAAAATTAAAAGTGATGATTGCATGTTCACCAAGAAAGGAATTAGAATCAGAACTGAGAACATTAGATCTAACTCATTTTTCACCTGAATTCTTACCATGGCCCAGCACTCATGCTTAGTCTACTCGACATTTTTCTGAAAATAATTACTCCAATTGTTGTATTATACAAACTGATCTTCGACCTCAAAGGCCACACAAACCATTCAGAAAGGAAATTTAACTTTGACAAGTGCGCTTGTCTAAAAAGGGATCATTGCTGCAACATTTTTGTTGCTATATATCACTCCGTCGCCAATGGGCGTCCCAAGGGGGGAAAACTGTTCAGAAGGTTGCAGATTGCTACTGCATTGGAACTCACGGCACTGTGCCACTCAGATTACAAAGTCAGAACGTTTGTGTTAAAGGAATGTGGGCAAAATGCAAAATCAGTAAGCGTTGAAAAAATACTGTACTACTGTATTATTGAAGTAACCACATAATATATGGCATCGTGGTGAAGTCAGACGCTCGGCAAAATAATTAAATCGAAGAAACCGGCTTTTATTTTCAGTTCTTTGGGCAAATTTCACTTTATTTTTTAATTTTTTTTGGCTCAACAAATTTTTAAAATCCATTAATAGTTCATTTCTGTGTGGATTGTACCCCCCAAAAAAAGTTGATGAAAGGCAGAAGAAATCTAAATTTGTAGTTTCCAAGGACACTCAAGCTTTTGAAGTCACCAGAATTTGGCCGCCATTTTCTCGCTGATTTTACCTCTTTTACTCGCTAATCTTATTTTGACTTCTGTTTGTTGAGATAGATGGGTATTTTTTCCTCAAAAGCACGGCCTCATTTGCTTTCAATTTGACTAGTGAGAACTAGATGTTCAATGCCCTTATGGCTGTTCCTTTGTCCCAGACACTGGGTGTGTAGTTTGTCCTACTCTTTGTGATATCGGAAACTGGGTGTGTATTACATCTCTGTGTGTATTCTCACATCAGAACATTAATGCGTAGTACGCCACTGATTATATTGTCGCTTTTAAACACAAGGGGGCTATCCCGAAAAATGTTGTTTTGAGAAAATCGAAGGTAAAGTTTTTGCCCCTTGTTCAGTTTCTTTAAAAGACAAGGAGAGTTTTCTCTATATCCAAACAAATATACACACCAATGAAACCAAACTTCTCCTATAGGTAGGGCTATGCCCACTTTTGTTGAAGGTCAAGATTTGTGGAAACACTCGAAATCTGGGTTAGCCCGCTTGTCCTTAAAAGCGACCATGTATTCTGACAGAAAAAAGTGTATGTGTATTGCGACAGACTCCCTGTGTATTCTGACAGAAACTTAGTGTATGTTTTATATCTCTGTCTATATATTCTGGCATCAGAAACTGTGTGTTTTACCTCGCCTCTGTCTGTGTATTGTGACAGAATGTCTGTGTATTGTGACAGAATGTCTGTGTATTGTGACAGAATGTCTGTGTATTGTGACAGAATGTCT